AAAATCCTATTAGTCTAAAGTAATAAAAAATGTTATAGAATATAATCTGAAACTAAATAGGTAAGAAATTTTACTTCAGTATACATCAGCTATTCTGATATATACTGATGTTGTGCAATTTTAATCCTTGCTGGGGGAATTAAAAACAAAAAAGAAATTATGTGTGAAATAAGAACTTTCATAATAAGCTAATTTCACCTGGTATTTAGTGTCATTGCAGACACCCATCTCAAACCCCACAATGCTGATTCCACCTAGAAATAGCCAAAACAAAGAAATCAGCTTCCATAGTCTACAAGCTTTGCTTGTCCTCTCTAAATAAAACCAGACAGATGGCTCAGTCTTTGGAAATCATGTGAAAACATCTGCGGTAGGGAATTTGGACCAAAATATATACAAAACATTAATAGATCTACCAAAGCCTAATACTGAAAGTAGTGTGTGAATAGGCAGCCTCCCAGTGTGTTTCCTCCCAGTACAGACAGTGTATACAGCAGGGCCCAAGCTAGGCTCATTCCTGGGGTTTGGCTTCACTCTAAAGAAACCAGTGGAAAGGTAGCAAAGCTTAGCTCAGATCTCTTCCCCAGACTTGGCTGCTCGTAAAACAAACTTATTGGGACTCCCAAGTGTTTGCTGCAGGTTTTCAGTCTCTCTCAAATTTTTGCTACCAAGTCCTCTGCCATCTTCGTCCCTTGGGCAGCTGTCACCCAGTCTTGGGACATAACAGGGAGGGCACTGTCCCACCCAGCAGGGATGCTCTGAATACTCAATAGATGGTCCTGTGAAAAGAACTGCAAACTAGAAGCTCATCCCCTCACTATTTCTCTCGTCTATCCCAGGAAGGATAGAGGTTGCCAACTTGCCATACTGTGGTTGTAGTTAAAATTCAGCTGCAGCACATAAACACAACTTTACAGAGGGAATAAAATTGCACAAGTGCTCCTGTAAGAAGTATTTGACCTGCTGCTTATGACTTTTAATACATGCCATTCCAGTCAAGGTTGTTCAATGCCTGGGGATACTGGGAGGAGGAGGAGGATGAGAAGAACAGAGAGGGATAACATGAGAAGTGGCAACATGGACTTCAGTGGGGATTAATAGCCACAGAAGGAGGTGCTGGGAGAGGATGAGTTACTGATGATTTAGCTGCAGTCTTTAGTGCAGTGGTTTTATCCTTATTTGAGGTAAAACTAGCATAAGCATGTTCAGCTGTACTGACATCACATTTTCATTTTTCCATGCAGGTGTAGCCTGTAAATGTAAAGCCACCCCAGAGTCTTTGTTGCTATGATCTTCAACAGACTATGGAGAAAAACATACTGCTTAGTGACTAATGTAGCACAAATTCCCTGTAGCCCTAGTTACATAAACTACCATTTAAAAGACACAATTTAGTTATAAAGTGCACGGTAAAAGCTGCTCTCTCCTTGAAGTGTATATTGAATTTCCCATCAAGATTGTTTACAAGATCAGTTAAAAAGAAACTTTAAAGCTTTTGAGCATTTCAGCCCATGGTTTCACCTTTTCAGCCCCACAGCAAAGCATTTGAGATTATCCCAGGAGTCTAGGGGTGAGGGAATTAGCTAAGAGAGTGGCTCTGTAGGGAAAATGTGCTGGGGATGTGCTGTGGACTGGGCAGGAAGGGGAAGCTGCCCCACACGTGACTGGGGGTTACAGCACACATTGAGCAGAGCGTGTTCCCTGGTGACAGACACTTCCTCACTGTGCTCACGCCACCACCGTCACTCCGCAGGACTACAAAGGGCATTTGAATTCTTCCTGTTTGTTTGTCCCAGCACATGACAGTGAAGGATGAACTGTCTTCCAATCTAAACGATCAAGAGAACAAGCACATTTGGGAGAGATTTGTTCAACTGATATTAAAAGTTAAATATTACCTTTACTGTGCAGTAATTGTTCACTGAGGAATCTCTTTTCAGGCTGTAAATAACAGTTTGTATTATCACTGTATTATTCACTTTCAGGAAATATGTGTTTTGCAGAACAAAGGTAGATCCATATCCCCTGCCATTAAAAAACTTTCACAAAACAAACCTGAAAAATTACATGAAGTTTCCTGTGCTTTAAATCCTAATGTTTAAAACATAGGCCAGCGAGATTTGTAGATTTTATTGGCACTTGCAGTTTGTGGCTATAAAGCTACAAAGGATATCAGCTGAGACTTCTGCAGGCTGCATGGGAAGAGCTTTTCAAAGCTCTGTACTGCCAGAGTTCATGCCTCTGTGCAATAGCACATTATTCAGGAAGCAGTGCTTCTGCTCAACTCTTTAATGTTTTTCCAGAAAGAGAAGCACATTAGCTGAGCATCTCTCTGCCATGGTCCCGTTGCTAAAAATCAGTGTTTTCGTACAAGCAGTGCTGAGTGAGGGAACTGGCATGCCTCTGCACTATGTCTTTATCTCAGTTCCCAGCATCTAACTGGAATCATAATACTCAGTCTTATTTGCTTCCCAGTCTATCACAGGGCTCTGAAATCATGGTATCAGCTGCATGCCTCAGTGAAATGAAAACTGCTTTACAGCCCGGCACCCTTTGCCTTGGACAGGAAACTGCTGCTCTCAAACTGTCCATGACAGATCTAGAGGCAACTGCTGGCATTGTGTCTCACTGGCACTGGAGGATGACTTGGGTGATCCCATGAACCTGATGCCTTGATGGGCAGCAAACCCAAAGAGCAGCAGTTGCTGCTCTAGATCGTGCTGCCTCTGCCACCATGCAAGGGATACTGGCACCAACAAAATCAACATCTGTCCTGAATGAGAACTAGCCTGACTCTTAGCAGCTCTAACACCTGAAATCCCTTAGGAGCTGGTACAGAAAAGAAACTACATATAATATTTGCATTCAGGAATTGTCCTGCCAGGAGCAATTCCTTACCTTCCTTCCCACTGCAACAGCAAGATTAGCACTGAATCCACACAGAAGAAACCACTGAAGACAGTGAGGGTAGTATGTAAGTATATCCAGCTGCAGAAATTACAGACTATATGTATAAGGAAGTTTCTTCCCCTTTGCTATTTAACTATTTTTATGTGCTGAGTCTTAAAGTACTAGTTACTATTTTGAGTTATTGTTGAAATACTACTCAAAGCCTGTTTCATAGAAACCAGAATACTTATGAGAAGATCACTGAAGGGGCAAAAGCGATAAAGTAATTATCTGTACAACTGGGTTTAAAACCAACCAGATGGTACCAAAGAAAAGGCAAGAATGCTTTGAAGAATAAATCTGAGTGCTGATTCTTCTACTTAAGAGAATTTACACTGATAATGAGCAGTATCAGAGATAATGAATTCATGAAAAACAATCTTGTATTTCAAGTTTTGTCTTTCTCAAGGCTGACTAATGTTTGCTGCTGAAATCTGAAGTGCTGGAAGCATGCATGTACAAGAATATACTTTGAAACCTAGGAACTCAGTGTATAAAGCCACTTTACTCAGGATTGATGAAGATATTTTCTCTGCTCACTGCCACATAATGTACATGTTTCTAAACATCCATCTGCATTTGTTCTGTTTCTCTGACAGTCACTGCCTTTTAATGTTTTCTGTCCTCAATGGAAGAATCAAGTTTAAGCTACAGGCTTCAGTGTTGCTTCTGCTGATGTTATTATTGCCTTATCTCCTGTAACATGAACTTAGAGGACTGTCTTTTTTTGAAAACAGATTGTTTCTATTCATATTTTTATTTTAGTAAGGCACTAGAAACATTGCTTTTTTTACTTTATACTTCCAATATTTAAGACCTCTTTTTGCTATGTTGAAAACAGGCACTGTAGACTGACTGGAGTATTTCCCCTAAGAAGAGTTCAATTTGCCTAGTCCCTAATCCTGTAATTACTTTTGCATGTATTAAGAGTAAAAACACTTCCCCTGTAGTCACATGGAGAAAGATATGCTGAATCATGGCCTTTGCTCTATAGCCCAGTTTGTAGAGGTGCTTCCAATAAGCCACAAATAATAGCAGTCCTTTGTTTTTCCATATTTAAATGAGTATTGTATCAACACAAAAGGTTTTTACAGGAAAACACTTTTTTCCCCCAAGTATTATCTCTCTAAACATAACATGAAAAAACATTTTAACCATCCATGCAGTAAATACTGACTTAGCTTTTAGCCAAGCTTTTACTCCAAGTAAAAAAAAAATAAAAATCAAGGTATGGGTTCCTATTGACTAAACTACCAAACTCAGTGGCAAAATTTGCACTGACTTTGGGGTAGATGAGGATTTCAAATAAATATGTGTGTAGCATGGGCTAGTTCTGGTAATATGGAGCCTTATAGGTCACTAACAAATTTTTAAAAAGCCATAAACTCAGCCGTGCAGAATTATCAGAAATTGCTTAGACTGCCACACAACTTTTTTAGCTTTCCAGTCACACACATCTTTTCTGATTGCTCTTCCTGCTAAATAAATAAACAAACCATAAAGAAAACCTAGAAAATACTAACTAGCACCCATGTAGATTTTGTGAAGCTTGCATATAAAAATAATATATAATAAAATACTTTTTCTCAGTCCTCATTCAAGCACAGCTGGCACCAAGGATGAAGAATAAAATGATTAATCCATTTTTCTTTAGAAAGTTGATGAAAAACCTTTTCATAAATTTTATATATTCCTGTTAATACTTTATACAGAACATTCTAAAAGAGTGTACATTTCTGCTGTTTTGGGTTGCACATACTGTCTTTCACTTTATCAAGTGAGATGAGGTGGCTTTTATTAATACTGCAGTAAACCCCATGCAGTTTTTACTCAGTGGGCTTTGGCCACTCTATTCCTGTCCTCCCTTTTGTGTGTCAGTTGTAAATTGATTGAGAAATACTCTGTTTCATGCTTCCCCACTCTTGGCATACAACATCTTTAGATGCAAAAGAGATAGGAGAGCAAAAAGGCAACAGGTAGGTAGTAGTAGCAGATGCCTCCAGATAAACTTGCTCAGAGTAACAAGCACTAAGACTGTATTTTTTCTGCAGAGTGCAGGTGGAGAGGCTGTGAGTGAAAATAAACTTCTGAACACAGACGCCAGCACAGGATCAGTGGAAACTACTGCCAAGCCGTTACCATTCAAAGACCCAAACTTCGTCGTAAGTATATTATTTGAACAATTTGAAATGTCAAACTTTTCCCATAAAAGACTTACTAGGATTCTATTTAAGCATGTTCCTAGTGTAAATATTAAGAAAATAAGCTTAATAGCCAAATAAAAGGTTGACAATTTTTAAGAAATTCACCTCAATCCATGTGACATCATGGTCTAAAGTATACACTGTATTATAGCATGAGAATGGCATTGGTCTAGAGGCAGAACTGTTCTATTAAATTCTGGAACAGGGTGAGGAAACCTGTTAGGTGCAGGTAAGTATGGAAGTTTTATGATATAGTATCTCACAAACTACCACAGCTAGAGAGGAACAATGAATACTATGAATGTATGAATCCCATGATCCAGTTCCAACTCAAGGCAGGCTGCAAAGCAGTTGAGCTAGAAATTAGCCAGAGAGTCATTAGCAAATGGCATTTTGCTCTTCTTCTGGTCCCTGAAACTCTTAACAGATTTGTGGTGTCTTCTTCCAATCATGGCTAGATTTAGAAGCAAAATGCTCTGTGCCCCCTAGAAGTCTGGCCTGCCAGCATTCAGTCATGTAAACACTGACAGCTGATGAAATGCAGGCTCCTATCACTCTGAGGGTTAAACTAGGAGAGAAGGTGAAGGAGAATAAATTAGTAATGCTGGGTTTGTTTTTGATATCTTTTTATCTTGCTGTGCCAAGGCCAACTCATTGGCACACTGTACAAATGCTTTCTAGACAAGCAAACCTCTCAGACTGCTGGTCCTAAGCCAGTACTTAGAAAGAAGGATTTTATCCCAGATTTCACTCTGCATGAACAAGATACAATATCCCCCAGCACATAACGAGTAATCGGGCAACGCACAGCTCGCTAAGCACAGGTTTGGCAGGGGCTATGAAATTAATCTCTGACATGTGAGTTGCTCTACATCTGCTTTGCAGACAACTTCAGTCATGAGAGGGGCGTTCAAACGACCCTATACTTTGCTCACTAATCCTCCAGCAAGCACCAGCATCTTTGAGAAATGGGGCTTACTGCAAAAGCTCCTTTTGTGCCCAGAGGCATCCCATGTAGCTTCAACATAGGATTTAAATATCTGTGAAGCCCTGAGCTGATCCTTCAGTTCTTAGAGGAATGTCACCATTTCCAAAGAGGCAATACTAATGTCTGCATGCTCGAAATAATAATGAATGTACAGGGTCTTTGGCAGCTGCTGCAGAAATAATAGGCAGTCATAATAAAAACCATGAAATTGTCCCCTCCAATACAGTAACTAATTTGAGAAGAAATGCATAGCGTGTTAATCAGCATTTCATTGGTATGACCTGGCAGTAACAATTTGGATGGATTTTTGCATCTTTCCAGCCTAATTTGCCTTAAAAGGAAGAAAATAAATCAAACAGTGTCTCTCTCTCATATGTATGCCCAAGTTTGAACCACTAGCTTGCTGCAGAGGACAGACTTAAGAGAAGAAAAGGAGAAAGAAATTACCTTTTCCTAAACTTTCCGATTGGAATTTACATCCATTGGCAATGGGTGAGGGGAAAAAGACTTTCTGACACTTGTGTAGAGCAATAGCTGCTGTAAAGCAGTAGCTCCACCTGTCATAGCTCCAGCTTTCTCTGAACTTTGCTTGGTTCATAAGTGCTTGGCAGTTGTTGCTTTTTCATTGTAGGTGTGTGAGGTGATGCTCAGCCCCATTTTTAGGAGGCATAAGTTCATATTAAAATAGGTTGGTTTTGAGAGTACTGAACAAAAAAATCATTTTGCAGTGATTTGGGGGAAAATTCATGCATTGAATTTGAATCAGTGGTGTGGAAGTACATGTAGTTTCATCTCATGCTGTAGCAGTCTCTATTATGCAATGATCTTTAGATGACTAAGGTGTTACCCTAAGAGCAAATATTTGCTTCTGTCTTTTAAATCAGATTATCATCAGCTTGTGAGCATCTTTTCTGAATATATCTTATGTCTACAAAACAAAAAGCTTTCTCATTGAGTCCTTCCTCCTGTCATCCTCATCAATTTAAGTGGTTAATTTATAAACATTCAAAGCAAAAGTGTGTTTACGGAACTTCGCTGAGTTTCAATGAGATTCATGGGGCAAGTAGTAATTATTAACAGAAATAGCAACTTCTCAGTTGTAAGTACATTTTCTTTTTCTGAAGTTAAGCTGTAAATCTGTGTCCTTTGATCATTTAGAAGTAGTACAGTATGTTGTGCAGCTTCTGTCTCTGGAGGGACATAAATAAATTACTCTGTAGCAATCGCATTTGTTAACTGCAGCTGCCATTATAGTACCTGTGGTAAGCCTTCCATTAATGTTCCTTTCAAAATGCAAAATTGTCTTGGCAGCCAACATTCTGTTTATTATTCTTTTTCTATTATTCTGTCTTCTAGCCTTTGAAAGAAAAATAAAATTTCCAGAAAATTTCTCAGTATTCGTTACATTTTGCAAGATCAGTTGTGTTTTCTGCAGTCATGGATAATTTGTGAAAGAGCTGCACCTGTAATATGCCATAAAAAGGAGAGAGAAAATTTAGCTGTATAATCACAATTTTAGAAACAACTTCATAGTAATAACTTCTAATACGATAGGAAGTACATACAGAATCCTGTAATCTCAGGCTAAGCCTAACCACATTGATTTTCTATTTCCATGTAAAAAACAAATTTTAATTTCCTTCAGTTAATGGGAAACATAGAAGCTTTGACACAGTCCAAAAAGCTTTGTTTTTGCTTGCAACCAAGATTAGAGTGTACAGTATAGTAGTCTGCTGATGAAATAAGTGAGAATAACAAATGGTTCACGACAAGATGAGACATATCAGAAAGAATGAAATAGAAGTGTCATGCTCTGAAAGAGTATTCTTTATTTATTTTTTTTCTCTAAACACCATATTTTTAATTCTAGCACTCCGGCATTGGTGGAGCAGCAGCTGGCAAGAAGAACAGAACATGGAAGAACCTAAAACAAATTCTTGCTTCTGAAAGGGCATTGCCATGGCAACTAAATGATCCTAGCTGTAAGCTGCTTAGACGCTTTGCATGTATTTATAAATAATAGAATCCACACAAATAACTTTCTTTAAAACTAACCTAAATTATTTCATCAGTCCATGCAGTATCCTTTTTGGACAGGGTCCAGTGGTACATTTAAGATTTCTCCAATTGCACTCATCAGCCCTAAGTGGAAAGTAGGGGGAAGCAAATAATTTGGAGTATCATGGCAAAGTTCAAATACATCTGAGGGGAGAGTTTAATAAGGAAAAAATATTTATCCAAACCAAGTCAGAAACTCTTATTCCCAAGAGATTTTTGTCACCTTTTCACTGGTTAGGCACCTCTTCCTCTGTACAGTCCAGAGGTCTTTTGGTGGGTGGCTGCTACTTGATTAGCTATATTTGAGTACTTTTCAAATAGTTTCTGCTAAGCCACATACCTGCAGTAGCTTAGACCTCAGCCCAAGCTTCCTATCCAGCTCCTTATCCTAGATTCTTGGGAGGTTTAAATACTACATCCTCTCTTTAGTGCATCACAGCTGAAACTACACTATTAGCAGTGCTGATTAGCAGTTCTAGCTGGTTACATCCACAGAGTTACAGCAGTGGTCTTAATCTAGATACTCTTCAAGTATGCTTGTAAAGCAGGATACTATTGAATGTAGCTACCAGCAGAATGCAATCCTCAGATTTTATTTAGGCAAGTAGAGGCATTTCAAAACTGAGAATATGCATTCACTTTTTGTCAGACTTGGTGCTTTATCCAAAAATAGCTTGCCGTTTTTTGAAGTGTTTTAGACGCAACTGTTACAGAAAAATGCAGACTACTGTGCGTTCCTGGCCATTGTAACTGACAATCTGCTGATGTTGCTATTTCTACTGTGCTCTGTTTGCAACCAGAAATTTGCAGTATTTTTTATAAGAAGGAGGGAAAAGAAATTCAGTTTCATATTTAAAACCAGTTTTCTGTGGCATTAGGGTCTTTTGAATTATGAGATGATGGGTTAAAAATTTGATATGGAGGGAGTGTTTGAATTGAACATAGCATCTGAATGAATTGCAAGGGGGATCGGGAAAGAGGAAAGAAATAATTCAGGTACAAGATATTTTTGTAAACATCCAAAATTGAGGATTTAACTACTTAAGCATACCAACTGTATCTTAAAAATGTTTATGAATGATAATTGCTATCTAAAGGGCACCAAAGAACAGCAATTTCCAGCCCTCAGTTTAAACATTCAGACAATTTTCTAGGTCATTGACTGGGCTTAAAGTGGTACATGCTTAAAGATTTAACTGATTTAAAAGATTACTTTGCTTTTCTGGATTATAGTATTTCAGAGCTGCAATCTTGAGCAATGTTTCACGGTCTTAACATACAGTATGCATTTGATAATGGTTATTCTTTGCACGTGACTGACTGCAAGGGAATTCATTAAGACTTGGAAGAAATGGACACATTTCAAATGTCTGGCATTTTCCTTCTGGGGAGGGCAGTTCTGCTTGCTGAACTCTATTAATAGATGAGCAGGATCAGGCTGTGATTTACATGCTAACAGGGTAAATGTTTTAGAGGTGATTCTGCTTCATATTTCTTTGCTAGTTAATAGAGACCTCAAGCAGTAGGTTTATGTTTTAGAATATATATTTATATATATATATATATGTGTGTGTGTGTGTGTGTGTGAGACACTGAGTTTATGCCTTTGTTTCTCTCTAGATTTTAATATTGATGCTCCTCCTTCTTTTAAACCTGCTAAGAAATACTCAGACATCTCAGGACTTCCGGTAAGTATTTTTTTTTCCCTCTCAAAAATGACATCTCACCTTCCACAATGAAATAGTGCTGGTGCCTTGTTTTGTAAAAGATGTATATGCTGAAGTTCCTATTCAGAATTGGGCTTAATAATTATCCAGTGATTTATGACCAAACCCCAAATACTTGTCACTACATCACAAAATCCTTAGGTTGTTAATAGATGTCAGGACAGACTAAATACCGTGTCCTGCCAAGTAACTCCTATGACACCTCTTTCTCACCTGTAGAATCTGCATTGATGCCCCTGATTTCTAATTCTTAAGATAGCTGCAGGGAAAGCTGGTAGTCCACAGTCTCCATTACTGTTGACTTTGCCAAGGTGTACCCACACTGACTGAAACTATCCATGCTGTTTGCCTGATGTGGATTTATTTCATTGTATCTTGTAGAGGAAGTTTTAAAAAGATGGCTCAACAATTTTCAATAATGTGATTAGGCAAAATTTTGTTGTTTGTCCTCTTTTCCACCAGGTTAAAAAAACCCCCAGCCTTGTTATCATTGCTCTCAAACTTTGCCTCAAACAAATCAGCCTGAAACACACTTGGAATAAAGTGTTTAGAATTTCAGATACCCCTATGCTTCAGAGCTGGAAGTTGGAGTTTGGCAGGTGTATAGCCTGTGTGTCACAGATAGGCTCTTTTACATGTTTCTGTTAAAGAAAGAGGAGAAAGGGAAAAAAAAAAACAAACCACAATTGACTTAGATACAGTTTGCACATGCTCCAGAAAGTCTTGGTAGTTACAATTTGGTGCCTGAATTCCCCAAAGTTGCTGTTGACACAAAACAGGAGTAAAGTCATTGAATTCTGCCCAACAAAAATTTTCTATGTCCTGTTGAAACTGTTCCTGTGTTACATGAATAATTTTACTTACAACAAAACAGGTATTAGTAACAGCATATCTTTTCACTTTTCACCTTTAAATTCCAGTGATTTATTTTGCAGAAGTCTGTGCATTTCTTACAATTGAAATGAATGGGAATGTTGTATTTTGGAAAAAAAATGTTTAAGTAGTGGTTACATTAAATAGATACACTAATGAAAACTTTGTAATATCAAAGAGCCTTGCACAGAATTTCTGTATCACTTCCTTCAGTTCAAACTGCTTCTCACCCATAGGGCACTAGCACACCTTGACAGGCTTAATATCACTTCCTGGAGATGTCCTTAAAGGTACATATTTGTTATGCAGGTTAGCATACCACCTTGCATTCTCTGCACTGAATTAGGCAAAAAGTCCTCATTAGGACAGAAAATGGGTGAGCGCTTAACTAAGGGCTGCCTTATAGTGAATATTTAGTGTAAGGCATCAAACAATAGCTTTAGCTCCAACTGTAATCCTGCACATCCAAGCATTTGATCTTGATTTGGTAGCATATATTTTCTTAGACTTTATTTTTAAGTAACACATTTAGATGAGGCACCTATGAGGTGGCATGTGTTCAGCCTGTGCCTCTGCATGTGGTTTGGAAAGGGAGTGGGTTGCTCAGATAAAGGCTGGTAGCCCTTGGTGTTCAAGAGGGAGTGGAAAAGCAACATCTCCCTCACAGATGAACTGGCAGACAGCAAATGGAAGAGAATGCTCACAAACCCAGGGAAGGTAATTCCCTCCAGCCAGACAGACTCCTGCCCCATCTCCAAGGAACCAGATAATGCTTTCCAGCACTAACCTTTGATGTATTTCAAAACTAATCAGTCATTGCACCTATAGTGAGCTGATGGTGCAGGGTATAGATGGGAGTGGAGACCACATCCCTACCAGTTAAAGGTCAGTTAAACCTTAGGAAATTCTCTCAGTTCCTCAGCTTCTCTTTACCAGCACCTCTTTTCCATCAGTGTTGTAAGTACTGTAACTATTCTAGCTTAGTATAGATACTCTCTATACAAATCCATTCAGAGCTGCTTTTGTTTTCTTTTCTTCTCTTTCCACTTTTTTCCCCTTAATTTTCCGTCCTCTAATTGCATTGTGAGTCGAGTTTCCTATTTTACCTGGCCTGCAAGGTTTCTCCAGACTATGATAAAATTACCACATTTAAAAAACCCCTTTGTTATTAAAATAGCTGAGACAGTGTGCCCTTTAAATTGCTAGGCTAGAAATGTTTCATAAGAAGCACTAAATATGCTTTCAAGATCATGTCCTAGTAGGAGCCTATGTGGGACAATAGAATATTGTAGGAATGTAGTATTATAAAAATGCCCCTGTATTTTCTGTGTAAGCATTTGTGTAAGAATATATTTTCTGTGGGAATGCTGGATTCCCCTTGTGGGGAGGGGAAAGTATTCCTTAGCATTACCCATTTAGGGAAGAATTAAATTGTCTACTAGGTACAAAAAGAGAACTATATTAAAACATTCTCAATCAGCATACTTGCTCTCATATTAGATGCCACAATTAAATTCTACTGATTCCCTTCTCTTTCTGTGTGTAGCACAAATGGAATTAAATTTACCAATGGTCTCAGCAGAGCAGCTAATTTATATTTGTAAGGCAGCCTAGAATTCTAAAGCTATTATATACTGTATTGACACTGCAAAATAAACCTATTATTTCCAACTTGCAAAATGAATATTTAGATATTTTAACATTCAAAACAGAGTAATTTATTGTAAAGCAGATTAAAAAAAAAACCAAACAAGAAGCCCAAATCTTCAAATGTTACCATTTCTCTTCCTTTTCTGAAATGGATCAGACCTGTTACTATAGAAACAGATTGAGATACCTAGTTTATTGTATTTTAAGAGCATGTCTCCATGGCCTTTGATTTAGTTTTTAAACATGACAGAGTTTTTTCTTTGCAAATTAATCTTAATTTAATATTCTAATCTCTAATTATTGCTGGAGTATTGATAAAGTTTGTTTTCAAGCTGAAGCCATGGCATGAATGGCTGATTATGATACATGAATGTCTGCAAACAGTACAGCCCAATACATAATACAGAAAAGTCAAGAGCTGCCATAATATTTTTAAGCTAGATCAGTGCACAATACAAATTGCAGATATTGCTTGGTTACTCTATTACAGAATTATGCACACTTGAAAAGCAGTCTAATTGCTTAGTTTTTTCTTACATGAGGCCAGGTGTAAAGAGTGAAATAAAAGTAAATTTATAACTGCTGTATAAATTTATACCTCCTAATGTTCTAACTTTGCCATTTGTTTGAAACTTAATTGATGGCTTGAACTGTTAGCTGACTACATTTAATTAACCTGGCAGCATTTCTTTGTAAAGAAAACAAAGCTACAAATAACACTAAATTTTCCAAGTCATATCAGACCAAATGATTGGCTGGATTGTTACCATGGTCAACAGGTGCTTTCCAACAAAAAAATGTAGAGAGCTCTGCACTATAACTGTATGGCATAGGGGACTACTCCAGCTCTTCCTGGCCTTTCCTGTTTTTAATATCAATGCCTTGAGGGACCTCAACTGCCTTTGCCTTGCAGCCTGCCACCATCTCGTGCTAAAGAAAGGCACAGAAGACACTTTTAGAGCCTTGGCAGGCACTTGGTAATCCAGTGCTGAAGGGGCAGGGATTGTCCTGGAGGCTGAGTGTGCAGAGGCAATGCCCTGATGCCTGCCTTTCCCCAGTGCAGCCTCCTGGCCTACCCTGAGCTCAGCCAAGCTCCAGGTTTCTGTAGCAACAAGGAAGGGGAGAGGATAGAAGGAAACTGGCACCGCTCCCAAGCACCCAGGCTCCAAATATAGCAGAGGATAGGAGCGTAGCCCAGGGTGAGCTGGCCAGGCTGCTATCCTGAAAGCAGGCATCTGGAGCAAACCACAATGCTGGGTTCAAATCTCTTATCAGTTCAGTCACAGAACCATAAGCTGAGACTCCCTAGCTTTAACGACCACTTTAAAGTAAATTAAAAGCTAAGTTGTATGCAGCAAGAGAAAGGCAGTCCAAAGCTATCAGAGCACCCATAATTCAGCCTCTTTGTGGGTAATTTATTGGCAACAGCCTGACTCTTTGGAGAGCTGCCTTGAGAGAGACTGCACAAGGCACAGAGTTGCTAGGGTGAGTTTAGAGAGTTGAGGAATTTTTTTTGCACTGTGTTTTATAGGAAGCTTACTTCAGCCCTCTGTTATGTTTAATGCATTTCTAATCTGATTTTATAGGGGGTCTGTTAGCTTCTCATAAGTCCTCACATGAGAAGAAAGAAAAAAACACAGACTTGTGGCCACATGGTAGAACAGCAGTGCTGTCGTTAGGAAGAGAAACTCACTGCTTTGTGGTCTTGTAATTAAGATACTTATTTTGCTATTATGATTAGAAATTTTATTTGAATCATATCTCTACCATTGTTTCTTTTTCAGGCAAATTACACAGACCCACAGAGCAAGCTGAGATTTAGTACTATCGAAGAATTTGCCTATATTCGGATGCTCCCTTCAGATGTGGTTACAGGATACCTGGCTCTAAGGAAAGCAACAAGTATTGTTTCCTGAACAGACTAAATATTCTTGTATATTGCTTGTGAACAGTGCTCATTTGGAGCATCATGGTGGAAACTGACCGTGGGACTGGGATTCTTTAAAACTACCCATGGATTTTTACATCTGGAAGTAGTTGATGATACAGGCATTTGAAGAACATATGGATTTAATTTGCACAAATGCTCATATTTGTTAGTTTGCCAATTTGTTAGCAATTTAGTTTGGTGAACAGAGTAGCTTAGACCATAAGGATATGTATCTGTACTAAAATGTCTCATGTACTATAATTTATATTAATTTCTGTAAAGACAGGATTTCATCTCCACCCTGTATATTTTATGTACTACCTTGGCACAGAAGAAACTGTCATTTGATTTAAGGAAAAGGTAACAAGATATCCAAATGTCTAAACCTGCCTTACCAGATGTGCTTGCCACTTGGCTATAAAGTTGTCCCATCTGTAAAATAAAGCTAAAATACCCAGCAAGTGCTCCTGTTGTGATGACTTTTCAGGGTTCTGTGGCACTGTGGAAATGAAGACACAAATGTTTGTATTTAATTAACTGCCAACATAAATAAAGTTGGACTCAAACTTGCTTGTAAAATACATTGCTTGTTACATGTTCATCTGTGAACATGTGTAACAGGATTCAGTCAAATCACTGTGTAACTCTTAATCATGACACTTTGCAGTTTTTGAATGCTTCATTGCACAGCCTAAATATTCTTCTACCTTTCCTAGTGATTACAGTATTTATATTAATCAGTATGAAGAAAGTACTAATTTCCCAGTGTTTAAAAAAAAAAGGTAAGAAGCAGGAGTTCCACTCTCCATTGGCATTATGACACCCAGAGGGCCTTCAACAGTGTTCTACATTAGAACACTGAACTTAGCACCATGAGACACCAAAAGAATACTTGAGATCAACAGAACATTGTCATACTTTAGAAGAAGGAGACTAAAACAAAGTTTGGAATCTTGCTGGGGGGATGGCTGACAGGTACATGCCAACACACCAGCATAAGAATGACCATGACCTCCTGAAACTAAGTCTAGGGGCAAAGGGGCAGAGGGTTTTCTGCCCATTCTTTCTTTCTGTCCTCTTTCTTATGACAAGTACTGTCCTCCCACTTCTGAGTCTTTGTGCCAGCCTTAAACTCTCGCTAGGTTGTAATCTGGACTCCCAAGTTCAGTCTCAGCTGTTCCCAGCCCCCAGTTACACAGCCTTCACTCCCACACTCCATCAACAGACCTGGAGTGGGGGCACTAGAACTGGCTGTTACACAAGTTCCCACTTGCTGTGGGAATGCTCTTTCCCCATGTGCAAAACTGCCCAGTGGAACACTGGTGCTATGGTCAGTGCTGGACTCCCCAGGTCCCTGGGGAGGTGAGGTGCTGGTCAGGACACAGCACTCCTGACTCAGCAAACTCCACCGTGGACATCAGGACCTTGTGCAAGGCACACTCTTCTCTTTGCCTGCACAAGCAGCACACAGTGGTGACCTTTCAGTGTCTAAGCTGTGTCTTGAATGCATTTTTCTATTGACATGATAATAGTTAAGATTTTTTTTTCTGGTTGAAACAATAAATATGCAGAGTGTACTAATGCTAGTTTAATTTCAACTCCAAAACAGGAAAAACAGTAACTTTCATTGTTTAATGAAAGTTTGTGGGACTCATTCTTCAGTTTTTGGGATCTAATATTGCCAAAACCAAATTCTAGAAGTCTTTGACATGCTTACAATGGATCCTTCAAAGCCTAGATATCTATAATGCTACAAGTGTATCACAGTACAAAAAAGAATAAGACAGGATATCTCTCTGCATGCCAACAAGCATCCAAGCCTCATTCTCTTTGCATTGAGTTTTATAATGCATATTTTAAACTTACATTACGTACCGAACATGTGTTCATATGATAAGCTTAACACTGATATGAAAAGGAAACACATAGAACTGTTGTAAGATCATTTTTGTTTTAAATAAGCAGACAGCAGCTCAGAAAATCGATTTCACAAGCTTGCTCTCTCCCACAAATATTTTTAACATTCTTTGGGAATGACTGTGTAGGAGCCCAGGCTCCTCCACTGTCAGAAGTGTTTTTTGCACTCCTGTACTCTATATTAAGATGTTGCTTCTCAGCTAATTTCTCCCATGCAGTGTTTATACATTCTGTTTTCAAAATCTGTGTCTCGCTGAATGAATCAGCATCAGAAAATCAAATACGTCTTACGTTTGGCAAAAAACTTAGTGACTCCTCTCTCAGTGCTCTGTGTCCATATGATAGCTATGAGATTCCCTTTTCTTCCCTCCCATATTTCTTCCCTTGTTGGCTTTTTGTTCCTAGTCAGTAGTACCTCCCTTTTACTCATTAGGTTGTGCAATGGTCAAGCCAAGAGTGATGAGTCAGCCACCAGCACCATTCAGCATTACATCAATCAACAACAGCTTACTATGTGGGACAATCAAACCAGGTTTCATTTAGCAGGAAGCTGAGGACACAACAGATCTCGTGGCCAACATGTGTAATGGCATTCAGTCCTGCTGGGTTCCTTTTGAATGCTGCCCTCATCAGTGCCTTCTATGAGAGAACTGAGCAGTACCTCCCTTGCTTTATTTAAGAGAAAATATGTATGAGTGAAAAGCTTATCTGTGCCACAGAGCAGTTTTAAAGTGTTTTATTGACAGTTTTAGAAGAAGTAAAAATGGGAGAAATACATTTATGTGTAAAAGTACTTACAGGATATTATCTAGATAATCATACATGAGTTGAATTCAAATTGAGAAGAGGACAAAACGGAAGCTTTTAAAAGAGAAACAGCAATGAATACCATTTGAGACTTGGGGAAAATGTGTTTTGGCTAATAGCACTGCCATGTCACTGAAGCAAAAGCCAGCAGTCAGGGTGAGGAGCAATCTGTTGGAGTACAACCATTACTGAGTGGGAAGTATCACCTGAGTGCATTACTTCACACAGACCGTGGATGGTTCAGCCTCACACACATCTGCATGGTGATGTTCCCTGTCATCCCCCTGTGAGGGCCTGCAGCACACCAGTTGCTAGGTGCCCACAGAAATCCCACTGCCATTAATGAGAGGTGAGCTTGTCCAGCACCTCTCAAGGTGCAGTCCAACTGGCAGAGCTTTAGCCTCAGTCTTTTTGGCAGGTGGAAGACACATTTTCCATGCCTCATTTACCCTATCCCAGAGCCAAGCTCCTGTTTTCCTGTGCAGCTTCCTGCCCAGCACACACCACTGGCCCAGTCAGCACTGGAGATGGGAGTTGTCTCCAGCCTGCCGTGGGGTTTTCTGCTTTTGTTCAGGACTGCAGTAGCTTTGGGTGGATGTGCTTGCCCCCAAGGCCAAGACAAAGCAGGCAGCTGTTGCCCCAGGGCAGCAGAACCACCACCGTAGCTGAACTGCCTGGTGTGGGCCCAGTGCTGCGCTGGGGCTGGGCCAGTGGGGCCAGGGACTGCAGAGCCAGCTGCTCCCAAGGGAAGGGATCTGCTGCGAGCTGTGACAGGAGTGAAGCAATCACAGCCACAGCTGCTGCCTCTGTGCTCTTCAGAGGAAGGGAAAACAGGGTGCTGGAGCTCCATGGCTCTTCCCTTGATTATTCACTGCTGTTTCAAACAGCAGGTGTGTGCCCATGGAAGCTTCCTGCCCCAGCACTTCCCTCTGCTGCATCTGAAGTAAGAATGACCTTGGCCTCACATCCTAGAAAGCTGCAAAATTCAATTGAGAGAGGCCTTGGGCCAGCTCATTTTGGACCCCCTCCATTTCACTGTCCTGTATTTCTTGGCTTTCTCCCATCATAGTGTTCTAGATCCCTACGGAATTGCTATATATGGGCTTCCATGGAGGACAGGAGGAGCAGTCACACTCAAGGAGATGTGCCTTAATCTCCTCTAACAAAGGAAAATGAAAGTAAACAAGGGGGAGGGCCTTTTACTAATACAAAATATCAAACTGAAAATTAACCAGTGTAAGCTTAAAAAGGTTTTTCCAAGTCCACCCTGTTCAGAAAAAAAGCTTGAAAAGCAATTACAATCATTTTCCTGAAGGGCTAAGTAATCTTTAATAAATTCATGCAACAGTAATTTATTACTAGAAAACTAACCAATGGATTTCAATGTCTCTTATAATCTCTAACAATGTGTGTGGCTTACATTCTCAAATAGCACATGGTTTTTCTTCCTGAATCACTTCAAGAAAGGAGAGTTTCACAGACTTGATGTCATGTTTCAGGAGGAAAACCCTGACTTAGTGCTCATTTAAACAAGAGTCAAATGGTATCTGTATTGCTACTGAACATTCAGTCACACTATGGTGGTCATACCACTAATATTGCAAGTCAAGAAATTCCTTCATAATTAGCTTTTTTTAGTAAGTGTTCCCCAATGAAAGACCACTTTGTCTATTGGCGAGTGGATGGGTGGAACATAATAAAATAATACATCTTCAGGCAAGAAAAACATTTTAAGTCCATTTGATATCTGTAAGTACTGCTTGGCTGGTTTTTGTATTACCTGAGAAGCTCAACAAACCCAGTATTTTCAGGTGATTACACTACTGTAAATCACAGCCTACAGACAGCAATAGCACTAAGCTCTTGGGAGAGGTAATAACAACAACTAACAAACACTGTTTGAACTACTGTAGTAGTTTAGGGCTGCCTGTGTAATTGCACATGGTTTATGACTTATAAGGTCACTTGTACAGACCACTGCTGTCTCTTGACACTGTAGTCTAAAATCAATAATCTCTACACAAAAAGCATAGAACTAGTGGCCTAGACAGTAAGCTGGGGCTGGCTGTGGTTTCTGTTTACCAGTGTGTTCTCCTGTGGGCAAGAGCTCCCCTCAGCTATTGCATGCTGACTGCTGTGGATACTTGACTGCAGCATTGCAGCCAGCATTGCAGCCCAGGAAACTGCATCTGCCTCATGGCCTGCCTGAAGCCTTCTCCAATGTCCCCAGTCTGGGATGCAAACACTGCCCATCTCTCAAGTGCAGAAATCATTTACAAGTCAGAGCCCATGTGAACAGTGTC